GGTGGGCATCAAGGAAGGATTATGGAAGTAAATCACCTTTTTTTCCCACCACACACAGAAGAGAAATCCTTTGCAAGAAAGGAGCTGGCTGGGGCAGGCTGGTTTAGATGAGCGAGAAGTTGCTTGAAAAGGTTTAAGAGGAACACAGGTGTTCCCCCCTCAAGGGGGAATTTCCCCCCATTCATATTTAGGAAGATGCAGTGTTTCTGGTTTCCTATGAACTGCTTTCTAATTTCCTGTGATTTGTGGGGACTTTCCTCCCTGGTGCTTCTGCGTGGATCCTTAATAAAATGCACACACATATTTGTGAGGCTTCAAACAGGTAGCCAGCATGCCCAAGCAGCCTATGGGAGGGGACACCAGAGCAGGGTGGGTTGCTGTCCCAGGCAGGATCCTCCAGAACACAAGGAAGCACAGAAAGCTGGAATGAGGGCGAGTTCAGATGGGAAAGGGGCAGTGGATGCTGCTGAAGGCATCCAGACAGCAAGAGGCGGGGAGAAAAATGAGTTCTCATTTAAATTCCCCAGTTCTTAAAGCCCCTTAGACAGAGATAACCTGTTGTGATGATCATCCCTGACTTTTGAACAACTTTTATGCCCCTTTAGAATAAAGATGATTGGTTCATTTTCAAGTGAGACACAGGCCCACTGACTGCTTGCCCAACATCTCACCACACAGGTAGCAAAGCACAGACTTGAATCAGACACTAGGAAAAATTATCTGCAAGTTGGATACAAGGCCATGAGCATTTAGGATGGCCTTTAGATGCCCTGTTTAACACATCTGCCTCTGGAATTAATTAATTATCTAGGGGAAGGTAACTAACTTTGTTTCATTCTGCTAAATGACTAAAATTTCATCTGTGAGGTTACATGCTAACTTGTAAATATTTGGGGGAAGAGAAGCAAATAATTCCTATTCAGTCAAAAGGTTATCTTTTTTATAGGACAATAATCAGTTTTCTATTGAACCCAGCTATTTTATTCTACAATTACTTTTTATGTCCCTATAAACACCTAGTTCCTCAAAACGCTCTTTGGACAAGATTTGCCATCTTACTGGCTCACTCATTAATGAGTTCATAAATCTTTGGCATTTGTTCATAAATCATTTGTTTGGCATTTGTTCATAAATCATTTGCATGACAGTCATGTTTTTAACTTTTTAAAAATTCTGTTTCTTGCTACATTAGAAAGTTAGCATTTCTTCCTCCAAAATAGCTTCTTTATGGTACCACACACCCCTCCTAGGGGACACTGGACACAGTGATACAGACAATGGACTGTGGGCCAGAAACTGAAGAGTATTTGAGGGCTTCCTCCTCACTGACCCACATGTCCACCATTAGGGCTTTCCTGGGATTCAGCACGTCTTCCTTCATTGACTTCAAAATCCTGCTCTTGGCAGCTGAGACAGGCCACCACCAAATGAGGAAGGGGCTTTGAACTGGTCCTCTGTGCAGCCGACAGACTGGACCAATGGTCTGAGCTGCCTACAGGGCATAAACAACACCGCCTCAACCAATCTGCGAATGACACCCGGTTTTGTGAGATGACTGAAACGCTCACTGAAACGCTCAAGGAAGGAGGCTTAGTTCCTGCCTGGGATATTTTTCCTCTGGGCAAAACTAATTGATCCACCAGAGAGCAAACCCATGACTTAGGCTTCATTAGTCCCTCATAGCGCCTCAAAATTAACCACTCCAATTCACTCAAATTCAAGAAAAAACACAAGGAAGCAAAGAGTTTAATGGGATTTGAGAAAGAAGGCCTTCGTTTTACATACTTAACAGGTCACTGACAACTCTTCACACTTTACTGAGAGAACCATCTGCGCTATTAGCAGGTCATTTGACCTCCTCTCTTTAAAACCTCTCTGAGCTCAGAAAACAACTCTGATAGCTCCCAGAATAGAAGGTGGTCTGGGATTTTAGCCTGACCACTGTCTGCCAGGCAGTTTTGCTGGCTATAGGCGTCTCCCAGCAGTTAGATTCTTGCCAGGGAGTATCAAGCTGCAGTTCTGCACCTTCTAAAAGGCTCTGTCTGCCCCAGTTGCCCCTGGTGCTCCGTCTCTGTACTTTGTATTCAGCATCGACCCTGTTCAGAAGGAACCGTGCTGTGTAGTATGGAGCACACTGGATACGGAAATTCTGCCCTCAAGGGTCTTTCTATCTAACAAGGATATAAGATAGATCACATAGGGTAGAAAGTGACTAGTCATTCACAAATATTCAGATCCCATTATGTGTCAGTTAATATGAACCAGGCATTCAGTGGAAAGCAAGGGACAGTGCCCTTGTCCTTTAAAATGAGTTCAATAAACATTTGTTGAAAAATTGTTCAGCACATACAATAAACAGGCATTTTCTTTCATTTAATTCCTTCTTCTCGAGTTCTTTTAGCAGATAAGGAAATGAGGGCTCATAGATGTTGGGTGACTTTCCCAAGGTCACTTACATGGTGACTAGTAAACAGGATTCAAATGCAGAAATGTCTGATTTGAGAGATGCTCTTCTTTCAACCTTATTCCATTTCCCATTAGCATTTTATGGACACAGCTTCCCTCTATGCAGTTGTGGCCAGTGCCTTTCCAAACCAGGGAGCCTCAGGGGACACAGGTTGGTAAACAGTATGACACCCACTGCTAGTCCCAGATAAGGACTCACAAAGACACGACTGATACGCACAACCCACAGGGACACTTAAATCCACCTCTGGTGGTCCCTTGATGTCCTCTGGCATAAACTACGATTCACTTATTTTCCTTTCAACAGAATGGGAGAAAGCAGAGGCAGAGAAGAAAGTGTAACATGCCTTCTAGAGACAGGGCACAAGTTCCACACCCTTCCTTTGGATTCTTTCAGCAGGGCTGACTCCACACAGAACGCACAGTCACTACACATCATAGCTGAAACTCTAACGTGGCTTCCTAAACAAAAATGGTATTCTCCCCACTACCATCATTTTGCATTAACCCAAAAGAATTGTTTTAAATCCTTCTCCTTTACAATTTTGAGGGGAAAAAAAGCAATTTGGGTCTTTCACATCTGAACAAACCTGGGTTAGTGATCTAGGACAACCTGACCCTGTATACCCAGCTCTTCAGCTCCCCCCAAAGCACCCTTGCAATTCCAGGTGATCCTTTAGGACTCAGATCAGTCATCTCCTCCAGAAAGCCTTCTCAGATTCTGCATGTGTACACACACACACACAGACTAGCTCTCCTGCTGCAGGCTCTCACACCCCTCCACACTGCCCTTGGCATAGTGTATGCTTCAATGCATTGTGCCCAAGCCTTCCCAGTAAAGCACCTGTCTTCATATTCTGAAAAAGAAAGAACTGTATCTGGTCTTCTATTTCCAACAACCTAAGGGTCTCAGGAACAGCCGCCCTGACCTGCTTGTACCCAGTTCCCTAGAGGCAGGAAATTCCATGTTGTAATAGCTGGATTTCTTCCCTTCATTCCTAATCCATGACTATGCAGCCAACTGGTCATTAAAGAAAATCATTTGGGCAGATTTCAGGAACATCTGACCCAGCTCTCTTCTCAAGTATATACAAACAGGAAAATAAAACAGGACAAAGAACTTTAGGCCACATGGTTTCACCTTCATTTCCATTACCAGTTTAACCTTCCATCCGAAGTAAAAATATTTAAATGCCCTTCCTCTGTCAGCATGGTAACCAAGATTCAGTGGAGCTGGGTTCACCATTTAAAAACTCACCTGGGTGGCAAGAGCCATTTTATCAAGCTGAACACAGGTTAATGTGAGTAAATTAGATAGTTTCCTGTGTCTGGGCAGACAGTACCTTTAAACAAGTGCTTCTCAAAGAATGGCATTAAGAAATGTTTTACAGACTGGGGATGTGGCTCAGTGGTGAACACCTGCCTAGTATGAACTTTAGGTTCAACCTATTGAACTTTCGGTTCAATCCCAGCACTGCAGAATAAAGAAGGAAAGAAAGAAAAGAAATAGAAGTATTTTGCATACATTAAGCCCATGGACCTAAAAATAAAAGTAAGACTCAGTACCAAATCAGCAACCCTGAACAGCAGACTAGAGAACCTGGCTGGCACAGATTAGAGATATGGTTATAAAAGACTGCTATTCAGTTTATCTTTCATTTCCTGCACAGCTAGTGATGGAGGAATCACAAATCATATTATCATTGCACTTACACACTTTTTTAATCAACTTGAGAAAAAAACACGCTTTCCTTGATATTTTATTTCCTATCTCAAAAAAATTGATTTTTCTAGAAATTTAAATTTGCTCTTTCTATTCACCAAGAGAATTGTCTAACTTCTGCATTAAATCTGCTCAATCTCGGTTTAGTTTCAAGTTGAGTCTTTATTTCATCTCCAGACATGCACAGAGTGCTTGGTATCCTGTATTATTTCTCACTCTTGGACACAATTGCTTAGCAAGGCAGGAAGCCTGCTGGGTAAATCAAACCGGCTACTTTTCACTCTCTAGATTTCCTTTAGGTATGTGAAATCGAACCCATACAACATCTCCTCCTGCCACAGAGGTGGGTTAATATTCTTTGTGTTCGGGGTTTTATTGACATTTCAAAGGCAGATAAAAGCTGAGAGATTTCTAACAGAGGAGTTGTGTACACAATACTGTCTCCTGAAAGGTGACTCGAACCAAAGACGACAATGACCTAACTCGAAAGGCGTCCAGCTTCTTTTTTCTTCCCTCAGGAGCATGATATTCTAGCACCCAATAAGGACCAAGGAGCAGCCTACAGAGGGCCCTCATAGCACCGATAATATTCATCTCAGTGGAGAAATTTGGACTTGGCTCAGACCATCTGCTGTCACTGCAGCCCAAGGTTGCCTTTCATTTGGAAATCATGCTGTCAACTTGGTTTAGAATAAACATGGGTGAAGCATATGCTTATCCTTGCTGCCCAGAGAGATGTTGGCATGAAGAAATGGGAAGGCTCCTGATTGAAGCTTGTGTTTATAGATTCTCCTCTTCTCTTCTCCCCTAGTTACAGTGACCGTGGGAGGAAAGCAGCACCTGCTCGGACTCTATGACACTGCAGGACAGGTATATTTTTATTATCTGAATCCATTAAGGGCTAGGGAAGGGGGTGTATGAGAAAGAATGGTCCATTTGGCTAGGCATATGGGGACTAACTGCACTGCTATCACCCATTCTGATCATTTGAGGCCAATTTATTTTCTACCTAAATGACAACCAAAATCACATTTCTAATATTTTTTTAAATTTATACCTACAAAAAGCTAACTCATTATTATAGCCAAGGTCTTGATAAATAATGATTTAGTCATTTACTGACGACCATCAATAACCAAAATAACATATTTGTTCAAGAGTTTTGAAGTTTCCTCCTACCAAACTTAGTCCTGATACAGGCTTAAGGGGATGATCTCATAAATTTTAGTTTTACTGTCTTTTCGTGTTATTTTTCTTTGCCCATCCTTCATTCAAATTGACTAATGGACTATGAAAGGGTCTAAAAAGAGCCTGTGGAGGAAGCATCAGGAGGCAGGAAGACAACAGATTAAGTGTTGGAAGAAAAGCCAGGCTTCTGGATATTTTTCAAAGTGAAGAACTGAGAGTTGACTCTAAATTCTCTAAGATTCTTGAAATACTTCCACTCTGACAGCAATGTTTCCTCAAGTTGGAGAACCTGGGCAAACAATAATGTAAAACCATGGACTAGCATCCTCAGTTCTTAAATGGCACCATCGACTTGGGTAAAAAGATTGGATGCCCTTGACTGTCTGTCCTTGTGCCCCGCACACACATCCTTATGAAGAATGCCCTGAGTTCATAGGCTGGAGGAGGGGAAGGTAATAAGCAGTTGGTGGCTGTGGCCCAAATTCTTGGATAGAGCTTGTTATCATATGTTGCGGGTCATCGATTTAGGTCAAAATCAGCGGGTTGTTCAGTCTGTCCAAATTCATACATTTTAAGTCCTTTGGAGTAAACATTTGACCATGTTATTTCCCACTGTGGGTTTCCTGGTAATGATTACTTATGCATTTGCCTCGCCCTTTTTGCACAATTATCTGAAGTTATGTCATTTTGCTCCACTTGAAAACTCCCTGCTAGAAAATAAATAAGTGAAATCTTTGTGAGGAATTCTGTATGCATCTGCAAGCACCATGGTATAAGATGTATGTGGGACATCAAAGGCTGGTGTTGTACAGGATAGGACGGGGACCTGGGAAATCTAGCACCAGACTCAAGGCTCCTAGGAGCATCTGATTTTCCCTCATGGGCAGATGTGAGTGGAGGTGACCTCTCACATCAATAGTAGGACCTGAAGCTAGAAAATGATGCCCACCCCCACTACCCCGTTTTCATTAAACTGGAAAAATCAGTTTGGCTCCTCTTCACGAAAGTCCAAGGACCTCAGTACAGGTAGTTTCCTCTATCATAAAGCATTCCAGCTGCAGTGATGCACTGTTTGCGGGGTGAAATTGCCAATTGTAATCCAATCACACAATCATTGAGGTGTCCCCATTCATCAGGGACACTTAACCACTGAGCCACATCCTCAGCCCTTTATTGTATTTTATTTAGAGACAGGGTCTCACTGAGTTGCTTAGGACCTCAATAAGTTGCTGAGGCTGGCTTTGAACTTGTGATCCTCCTGCCTCAGTCTCCCAAGCCACTGGGATTACAAGCATGTGCCACTATGCCAGGCTCGTAGTCAAATTTTATGTATATAATCCAGTTTGAAAAGTTCAATACGAGGATTATTTCATGACTCTGAAACCTGATTCCCTTGCTTTCTCCAAAGCCCTCTATGCCCCTGGTGCCCATCCCATTTTCCCCTTTTTCTGTTTCAATTTTTTGCTCCCGTACATTAATTGCCCCCAAGAACCACCTCTCTAGGCCTCTATGCAATTTCAAATCCAATAATACTGTTTAAAAGCTCTTGTGGAGTTTAATTATTTTTTCCCACTGCTCTTGTCCTTTATAAATTTTTTAAAAATACTATTAGTATAAGAGTCAAAGCTATCAGACATTGTAAAAATATCATTAAACTCCAAAGCAAAGCAAGTAGATTGGCCCAAACCTTTGACACAGAAATGATAAATACTGATAATAGAATAACAGATGGGTTCTAGATATTTCTTCAACTTGACTGTGACTTTAATGCTTTCCACCAGTTATTTTGAAATCTCAGAAGGGGACAAGGTTTATAGTGGGTATAAAGCACAGGAAAAAAGGAATCAGAATAGCTCTTAAGCTTCCTTCTAGACCTAAAAATCCTATGATTAGGACCTTTAAAAAGATAACCTTAAGAAAGCCTGAAAGAACTTGAGTTTTAAGCAAAAGGAAGAGGCCAGACTCAAGGTAGAACTTTTGGTAGATTTGAAATCCTGGGATATTATACTGAAGGATAACCAATCAGTCATTTTCTAGAACAGTGTTTCTCAAACTTAAACACAAATAAGTCACCTATAGGGCTTGTTAAAAAGCCAGACACTGGACCCACCCCCAGAGTTTCTAATTGTATAGGTAAAGTCCCAAGAATTCTCATTTCTATCAGGATTCCTGGTACTGGTGCTGCTGGTCTATACAGCATACTTTGAGAATCACTGTTCTAGAAAATTGCCAAAGTTTGATCCACTGACCAGCAGATCAGCATCACCAGCAGCATATTAGAAATGCAGACTCTGGGACTTCTCCCCAGTCCACTGAATTTGAAAATTCACTTTATATGCACATCAAACTCTGCAAAACACTTACTCTTGAAGTCTTTGGTGGTTGAAGCCCTGTTCCCAAAGTTGATTCCTGTGATCCCACAATACAGCCAAGAAGGCTTTTAACAAATTTAATTTAGAAACATTGTTCCAAAAGTTCCATTCCCAGTCCTGGGTAGGATAGTCCAACCCTCCTTGGTTAGACTCTAGTGAATGTTGCTGAGGTCTCATGACTAGGGAATATCTAACTAATTCAAGATTATGCACTTGGCCAGTTACTAATGAGGAACAAGAGATGATCTCAAAACCAATTGGTAATCCCTGAACCACAAAAAATGAAGTAAGTCTCTGAATCTGGCTATGGAGTTCCATCTTGCTTGAATAATTAGATTCTCTTACATGAATGACCAAACAGCAGTGCCCCTTGTCTTTGTCTTGAGCTAACCATGGGTCAGAGTTGACAAAAACCACCTTAAGAAGCAAATGCGTTCTGAGAAGTAAAGTGACAGGAACTCATTACTTCTACCCACAAAGTCAGCCTTGCACAAAATTGTTTGACCTGGTTCCCCCTCTGCCGAGGTACTTGCCTGCCTCAGGCATGGCTGCCGCAAAGCCCTGGCTCCAGTCGCTTCTGCCCCTTCACAGTTCAGCCGAGCACTTGATAAAGACATTTTATAATGAAGTCAACACGCAGACGCTGTCAGCACGTGGCCGCTGCCTCCTCAACCCCCTGAAACAAGCTAACATTTGGACTTTGAGCAGAGCCCTTTGAAGATAAAGAGTCTTCAGAACTCTGGTTCATTTGTTGGGTAGGATTCCAAACGTTAGGTTAGACAATGAAGTGGGGGGATTTACCCCTCAGATCATGCTAGGGAGGAATAAGGCCAATCCTCCAGCCAAATCTATTTAGGTCGAGCCAACTCGTCCTGCACGGCACATGCCTCTTGCAGTGTGTTGCTGAAAATCTCTCTGAAAAGGATTTCTAGAGCTCAGATCTTGCACTCTGCTTCAGAAAGAGTGACAGAGCTGACTTCCATGATGTGCTCTAGGCAGGCCAGTTTGTTTAGAGCATGTCGTGAGAGATCAAGGGGAGAGAGGAAGCAAACCCTGGGCTTTCACAGCCTGAGGAATGCCAAACTGGGAGAGGGGTCTTTCCTAGGTCATGCTTCAGACCCACCCACGGTGGGTCACCTAGAGCTGGAGCCAGCAAAGGTACCAAGATGCCTTGCATCCCTCTCATCCCCCAATGTGAGCACACCCTGCTCAGACTGTGGCCTCTCGGGCCAAACGCCAGGATGGAAATATCTCCAAGACAGCATTTGCAAAAGTGGCAGGTAGCAGCACTGCCAGAAGCAAATGAACATCTCCTGGTATCAGGAGCCAGGGGCAGCCTGCCGTCAGCCTAGGCAGGCACCAAGCTTCCCAGCAGGGTAAATCCGGGAGTTTTCTGCCCACCAGCCTCACACAGTAGGGGCTGCATGTGGTGCTACCACCAGTAATTGTGGGAACAGGAAGCCATCAGCCCAGAGCCTCACTCACCCAGGACTGGAGGCCGCACTTCTCAACCAGAATCTGATTTCTGAAGCTCCTTTTTCCCCCGAGGGCTGAAGAAGCCCACAGGCCAGCAGGAGGGAAATACAGCTGGGGTTCATTAATGGCAACCCAAGGTCCACTTGGACACACACAGGCCTTTCTCTTAGCTATTGGCTGACCCCATGGAGCCATCTGGAGCACGGGATCTGGCCTCAACCCTCGATGGAAAGTTTGCCTGAAACCTCAGAACAAATGTTTTTCCCTCAATAAGCAACTCAAACTTGCTAGTCACAGGCATTTACTGCAGTTTCTAGAAGGATGCATTCGGAGGATTCGGGAGCAGTTAACCCACATGACAGGTTATTGGTAAAAGTAACCTGAGGACCAGATCTTACTTCTCCACAAACTATGAAAAATGAAACTGGAGGGAAGTTGACGGAGAGACGCAGAGTTTACAAACATTTGGATCTCATTACTACTCAGTTCAGAAAAAGTCAATTTCAGAGTCAGCCCTGGTATCCAGTGAGGGTAGGAAAAGAGCGCCAAGAACTGCAGCTGTTGTTGACATGGATGGAGGATGGACTGTTTTACTCAGTCATTAAAGTGCTTACCATGCTCAAGACACCATTCCAAGTAGCGTACAGATATTAACACACTTTGTTCTCACAACAACCCTATGAGGCCAACACTATGATCATTCACATTGACTGATAAGGAAACAGAGGCAGAACTTACCACATCATAGTCACAGGCAGTGTAGGCATGTGAACCTGGAGAATTTGTTTCCACAGCTTATGCTCTTCAGCACCATCCTATGCACCCAGCCAATACACAGCATGCCCAGGTTTTCTAAACCAAGCCTCCCTTATGGGAGAATATGAAAATGAGATGGTGCTGAAAAAAATCCAGAATAAATGTCACTAAAACCCACAAAGAATTGGAAGCGGAATTCTCTTCCCAGTTGTTTAATGTGAGTCTGGGCCAGGAGCCGGGCTCAGCGCAACTCTTCTTGCTACTCAAAAAAGTGTGGTCCCTGGACCAGCAGCATGGGCATCACCCAAAGACTTGTTAGAAATGCAAATCGGTACCAAATAAGAACCTGAACCTTAACGAGGACCACAGGTGATTCAAATGTGTGTAAAATCTGAGAAGTGCCTCACTAATCCACCACCTGTACCACCTTGATGCAGTTATTTTCAAACATTTTTAGGACCCAAGTGTTTAGCCTATCTGCTGCTGAGGCTTCTTCTGAACTTTTAAAATAATCACCCACAGCCCCCCCCCCGCCCCACCTCAGAGCATCAGGTACACCTTCACACTGGACACTCTCTTGCTCATGGGGTAAAGTTGGGTAAAAAAAAAAAAAAAAAAAAAAACTCAAAAGCTCCAAATCCCCCATCCCTTTGCTCACTTTAGCCTTCCAAAGCCCCATCAAGTGACTCTTGCAGGTTAAAACATTGTCTCTTCAAGAAGCTCACAAGAACCTATCTTTCATTCTCAATTTCAATATGAGAAGGGGCCTTAATAACATCTGTACCATTCAACCCCTTCTCGAGCCCCTTGACATCATCTTTCCACGTCATCATCCAACCTAGGGTCAAAGTGTACTCCATCACAAAAATCATTCCAGCTCTCATCTGGCATCAGTTCAAAACCCCAACCTCCCACCACCAAACCCCCCAGTCCCAAGGGAACACTTCCTTTTATCAATCCTGAACACCTGCCATGTTTCATAGCCATTGCCAAGGACCAGCCCCTACCAGACCAGGTAAAGCCTTCTCAGGAACTATTTTGGTTCTGTAGTCCTGTTAAATCATTCAATGCGTGAGTCCTTAGTTTCTGAAACTATAAAATTGGCAGGGGTGGTGGGTGGGGATAGCAGTAGCCTGTGCTTCTGAAACTTATGAACCAGGTGCAGCAGCTTCTCCCCCAGCTTCATCTTCAGGAGGACTGGAAGAGGTCTGAGAAAGCATGCTAATCATCTCCCAATGATGCCCAGGCTGCTGGTCAGGGGGACCACAATTTGGAAAACACTGCACTAACTCATGTCTAAGGTGTCATTCTGCAGCCTTGTCATTGGATTTTTCCAATTCAGTCAGTTAGAACATTATCAGACTAGCTAAGAAAAGGCAAGCAAAAGTGCACCCAATTTCACATAAATGGGATGTTTCATGCATTTCTTTTCCCAATTCAATTGCCAGTTCTCACTTACCATGTGTAGTTCACATAGCATCCCTGACAGTGCTACACGTTCAGTGACAACAAACCATGTTACATGGAATCATGCAACAGGACTAAGGTTTCCTCGGATCAGAAACACACTTCTCTCACCTTCCCACCTACACTTAGCCCAGAGAACCCTGGTCTTTAACTTTTGCATAATGTAAGCATAATGTATCTGGTAGCTGCTGAGAAAAGAATCAAATAAACATGATTTTTTTCAGACCTGTTAATTGCTCCTACCTAACCTACTTTAGACATTTCTCCCAACAGTGTTTTGTTTGGATTTTAGGCTTTGAGGTTTTAAAATACAGTGTCTGCTGCCATCATGTGGTAGTTTTGAGCAGATGCAGCTATCAAATACACAACACACCCCATGGTCTACCACTTAGATCCCCGGGTAACTCAAGAACTGTTTCCTAGATAACAGAGTTTAAGAAAATGCCTATTCTGTCACTTAAAATTCTGAGCTGTAGCAATAGTGTGGTCACAATTAAGAGCCAGATCTGAATGCAGCTGGATGCCCCCTTCTGGTATTTAATGATTCTGTTGCATTCGTCCATTATGGAAATTCTCTAAAAATGAACTTAATTCTCTAAACCTCAACTTTTTCTTCTATTGATGGTGCCATATTTCCAGTGCCATTAAGAAAGTTCAATGAGACGGTTCATATAACTGCTTGAAACAATACCTGGCCCTTAGCTATGAGCCCTCAACGCAGCCTCAGTTGATGGTAAAGATGATGCAAATCGGTTGCCATCAAGTCCAGGCACACCCCAGGCCAAATGATGCAGGATTTGCAGCTACCCAGTGCCACTCTCCAAAGATTATGATTTAATTGATTCCAGTGTTGGGAGTGGCTGATAGTGATTATCCAATAGCAAGAGGTTTCAAAAGCTCCCCAGGTGATTCTAATCAAAGCCACGCTAGCAAATGGTCCATGGGAAAACTGCATGTTCATTTGGAGGTCACTGTAGATCCCTTTTCTACTAGTGAGTCCACTACATTCATGGAATATTTGCCATAGGAAGAGTATAGGTGGGAAATGGTGGGGGAAGTCAACATGAGCCCTGATCCACTTTTTAAAAAAAAAAACATTTTAAAAATATGTAGATGGACATAATTTTCATTATTTATTTATTTTTATGTGGTGCTGAGGATCGAACCCAGTGCCTCACATGTGCTAGGCAAGCATTCTACCACTGAGCCGCAACCCCAGCCCACCTGATCCACTTTGGACAATTCAAATGGAAAGACAAAGTGGCAGAGGGCAGGTAGTATCGTGTCCAGTTGTAGTTTATAGCCTCAGATTTCTTAGCATGCTTCTCTCAGAGGGAATAGTCCAGAGAAAAAGCAGCTAGGCAGGGAGACCATGGGAAAGAAAATCTGGTATTTGGGGCTAGATATATAAAGAGGAGAAGGTAGTCCCACGAGATGAACTTTCCCAGCTGCCTTCCCTATACCTCATGCAACACAGGGGGAGATGTGGGCACAAGTCACTGAGAGGCAGCCTGGCCCAACTTCCCAGGATGACTAATGTTTATTCATCAGTGCACTGGACTTTCAATCATTTGCTTTAGTAGAAATGTGGTAAAGGAGCCCACAGTAACAGAGTTGCTATTGGTTGGTTGGTTGAGTTTTTAGGATTCTATTTTTCTCCATCCTTGCCATCTTGCATTGCATCCTATTTAGGTATCTAAAATCTTTGCTTAAGTTTTAATAGTATTAGCAGTAGTAACTGTGGTGGCCATGCATACTGAACCCCTGGGTACTCTGAGTAGCCCAGTGATAGATCAATGCATTTCCACCAAACAGATGACCACAATTTGCCTTCTAAGATTACAGCCTGTCATGTATGTGTATATGTGTGCACATGTGTGTACTCCATTTTATAAACACTTTAGAGTCAATAGAAAGATAATGAGGTTAATATTAAAAATATGGAGAGTACATATTAAGTTTTTTAAAATAAGCACCACAAAAGTATGAACTGTATAATCAAATTGTTTTTACACTAACCATGTATATATTATATATATATATAATGTTTGGAAGGATAACGTTAGGCATTTATCATCTCCCACTAAAACAACAGATACACAGATGTGGAACCAGGAATCTTTCAATCAGAAACATATTCTGATCTGGAAAATCCATGGGAAAAAAAATCTGGTATTTTATTTATTTGGCCACACTGTTGTATTCAGGAAATCTTAGAAATATATTTGAAATTCTTAGCTCTGAACATATTTCTTCAAAAACAATGGTGTCTGATTCGGCAACAACTCTTTGTATTTTAGTTATCTTATTCTAAATTAAATTTGAAAACATTTCATTTTAATTATATAAGGAGGGAATTTCTTTGCTTTTTTAACCACCTATTAATTTAAATCCATATCACATATAACAATTTCCAGTGTAACAGGAGAACTGCACTGATCCTTATTGGATTATACCCCTTAAATGGGCAAACTTTTGAATACATAGAAGCAGGGTAAAAGGATTGTTATCAGGGTGGGGGAATGGGAAATGCTGGTCAAGGGTACAAAGTCAAGGTTAGAGGATGAATAAGCCTAGAGAGAGAAATAAACACAGCATGAACACTACAGTTAATAAGATCTGTGTTGTATTCTGGAATTTTGCTAAGAAAGTAGATTTCACATGCTGTCACCAATTAAAAAGATAACTATGTGAGGAGATGGATATGCTCAATTATTTCACTGTAGTATGTGCACGTATAACAAAACTTCATGTCGTACACCTTAAATACATACCATTAAAAAGTGAAAAATAAGCCATGCACAGTGGCGCACACCTGTAATCCCAGTGGCTTGGTAGGCTGAGGCATGAAGATTGCAAGTTCAAAGCCAGCCTCAGCAAAAGCAAGTTGCTAAGCTAAGCAACTCAGTGAAACTCTGTCTCTAAATAAAATACAAAATAGGGCTGGGGATGTGGCTCAGTGGTCAAATACTCCCTGAGTTCAATCTCCGATACCAAAAAAAAAAATGGTGAGAAATAAGTGGATGAACTTTGTGATTGGTAAATCATATCTCAGTAAAGCTGCTAAAACATTTCTTAAATTCATCTTAAATGAGGTCAATACAAATCTCTATCTGCAACAAAAAGGTGTTCTCCTGTCCAGTGGCGCCTGTATTCCTAGTAATATAGAGACCACCAGACCAGAGCCGGGAGGAGGGGGATCACAGTGCCTATAGTAGAATCTACATGGTATCACTCCCAGGAGCCTTTACAGTTGGACACACTCTCATCTGCTCTTCCCACAGGAGGACTATAATCAGCTGAGGCCGCTCTCCTACCCCAACACCGATGTGTTTTTGATCTGCTTCTCGGTTGTAAATCCTGCCTCTTACCACAATGTCCAGGAGGAATGGGTGCCGGAGCTGAAGGACTGCATGCCTCATGTGCCTTACGTCCTCATAGGGACCCAGGTTAAGATGCGGGTGATGGCAGAGTGGGTGGGCTGCAAGAAGAAAAGACCCTCTAGGTACATCACCAACATTGTGTTCTACCAAACACTGAGGGAGAGGGTCTCAGGACATGTCCCTCCTGTGAATGGAAGTTCTTAAAGTGTGCATGAGTAAAGACTTGGAGTTGAAAAGAGAACAACTATTTAATATGAAGCACTGTTTTAATATGTTCTTTAAAAAATAATCTGTTTTCTAATAACAAAGTATTTTTTTAAATAGACATTTCTCCAGCCCTGTGTCAGAGTAATAAAACATGGGCAGTAACTGCACATATCTAATACTTTTGCAGCTAAAATCCACAATTGTTTTAAAATTCAAAATAGGTGTGGGTGTCAAAATGACCCTGGCAATCCAAATGAGCACATTTTGACAGAATCCCTTGAAAAGAAAGAATTCCTGGAAATGGAAGAAAGAAATTCATGACTTTATTGTCTTTAAATCCCTTGATCTTCCAGATCTGAGAAATGAAGCTAAAACACACATGCCAGACCTTTCTGGACTCTAAAGACCTTTAAAGTATTTTGAAAGCTAATGAAGTTGCATAGTTTGAATTTCTGAGTCAGTTGCACAAATGGATCAAAGATGGTCCTGATTTTTTTTAATATTTATTTTTTAGTTATAGGTGGACACAATATCTTAATTTTATTTTTATGTGGTGCTGAGGATCGAGCCCAGTGCCTCATTCATGCTAGGTGAGCGCTCTACCTCTGAGCCACAACCTCAACCCCTGTCCTGACTTTTTGTACTTTTAAAAGGATTTTGTTTTTTGCTTTCTCAAAATCTAAATTACTATTCCAAAGTCATAGGAATGTAATGACTCTGGGGACTTTATGGTTTTCCATTTCATATGCTGTTTCTTTCTATTTCTCACTTTACATTCTGCTTAACAAAGAAAAATGTTTAAAAACCATAAAGAAAAACATCGCCTAAGGAAGACATGGACCGATACAGAGTATATGTGTTTATTTGAACAGAGACAAAAGTAAAAGATTCATTTATCCACAGATTCTGGCACACAATTGATGTTTCTGCTCTGAAAGACAATCATTTGTTTTTGTTGTTGTTGTTGTTGTTGTTTTTAGTGTTTTTTTAGATGTTGATGGACCTTTATTTTATTTATTTATTTATTTTTATGTGGTGCTGAGAATCGAACCCAGTGCCTCACATGTGCCAGGCAAGCACTCTAGGTAGCATTGAGCCACAACCCCAGCCACAGCAAAATTTAAAGGAACCAAAATATTTTATTAAACTATCAAACCTAACAAATGCTCCCTTCAAAGCAGTTCTGCTTTTGAAAAGATGCTTCATTAAGCCGAACCCTTTGGAAACTCCTCCTGGGGACCTGCCTTCTTGAGCGTGCAGTCTATTTGTTAGAAGAGTCAGAGAGGCAGCAAATCTTCATCCATTTGAGGGTGAATATTTTATATGGAAAAGCAAAAAAAAACAGTGTCAGGAAATAGGCTATTAAATAATGAGTAATAGAAATTGGGTTCTGATAAATCATCCCTGAAAGGTAACAAAAGTGTCTGGTTCTTGTATGTCCTATCAGTGGAAACTGCAAATAAACACACAATTTCAAAATCACTAGACACGAGTATCACTGGAATAGGCCGCTGCACTCAGAGCAACTGCTCTGAAGGAGCAAGTGTAAGGACATCCAGGTGTGGCTGAGGGCAGATCACTCTACCTTTTCAACCTAACCTGGGCACACACACGTGCTTTCTTAAAGAAAATTCAGCAACTTCAAAGATGTTCAGGAGAAAGAGACTATGTTGGCATAGTTTAAAGTATTTGGCAGGCCCTGAAAAAATGAATGACTTTGTCTTACGTATGTTTTGCCAGATTGATCTCCGCGATGACCCCAAAACCTTGGCCCGCCTGCTATATATGAAGGAGAAGCCGCTCACTTACGAGCATGGAGTGAAGCTTGCAAAAGCGGTACTGTTCATTTTTAATTCAGCTTTAAGTGGTTACTAGAAAAGAGCAGGGTGTGTGCTTTGGGATGGGCAGGCTCCATGTGGGTGTGCTTTAAACTGCAGCATGTTTAGAATCCTCTCTCTGCTCTGGATCCTCCCCTCTGTTCTAGAAAGACTGGAGGGGCCATTTGGTTAGTGTTCCTGTCAGCCAGTATTGTCTGTTTTTCATTAAGACAGAAACTTTGTGAATTTAAGCAGCCAAAGCACTTACCATTTTTATTTAGCAACCTCTAAAAAGAGGTTACCCTACAAAATAGTTGTCATATTTAGAATGAATTAAAGGGAGTCATTAGATGTCTGTTTGTAAATCTCACTGCTTATTATCAACATAACTCATCTAAATGACCCTTTGCGTGGTATTTTGTGATTTTTCTTGGAAGAGACTTAGATTCAGGTTATATTTATACAATATTTCTCATTATATAATGAGTAGCCACTTAGAAAGTTTGGGTTGTGTTACAACAGCGTCTGGAAAAAATAATATACACCAAAAAGTAACTAGTTGGGGAATCTAAGCAGTTTCTCAACAAAAAGGCAACTTACCAGAGCTGAATTATTTTCATAGGCCTTTTTTCAGTCTTGAAATGTAGAGTGATTTTTTGGGGGGAGAAATGCTTCAGCAAGTATTTGCCAGACACCAAATCTCTACCTCTCCATTATCACCAAGATGTGTGCAAAGCAGCCAGTAAAATAGACACAAGAGAACGGAAGTACTTTGTGCAAGAGAAAGCTTATAAATCATATTTCCATCATTTTGAATCCCTTCCTCAATGATTTAGGCTCAAACTCATCAACCCAAGTAGGAGGCTTTAAATTTTTCTGTTTTAATTTGTAAGTAACTAACCCTGCTAGGTACATGCCCCCCAGCAGTTCATCACCCTCTCTAAGCTAGTGGAGAATCCTAATGAGTTCTTCATCGATAAAAATGTACACATTTCTCATATTAAACCTTGTTTATAGGCACCAAAAAGGAATGTGATACACTTAACTAGAAGCAAATTAAAGAAAATTGTGTTTTTATGGCTCAATGCATGAGAACGTCTCACGAACATGTAAAGTCCCCACTCCTGCACAGTCATATCAGTGTCACCAGGACCACTCAGAGCTCTTAGGATGCTGAACATTTCACAAATTCCACCTCACTGCACACTCTCTTTAGTGGACAATGTTCCTCTCATAGTACAGGTTAGGAAATAGTATCTTGGAGAGACAAATGTGTTTGATTCACACCATTCATCCTAACAAAGTCAGAAATCCTAGTGGCACACGCATGTAATCCCAGTGGCTCAGAGGCTGAAATAGGAGGATCATGAGTTCAGAGACAACCTCAGCAACTTACCAAGGCCTTAAGCAATTCAGTGAGACCCTGTCTCTAAATAAAATACAAAAAAAAAAGGGGGGGGGAGTGCTGAGGATGTGACTATAGTGGTTAAATGCTCCTGGATTCAATCCCTGGTTCCAAAAAAGAAAAAGATTCTAATCCAGCTCTGGGGACATTGTCACCTGTGCACCTGGCCTTGTGTAAACTGTCCATTCTTCAACCATTTACTTTTCTTCTGGGAAAATAAGTATGGATAGGTTCTGCTACCTTTTCCCTAAACATTCTCCTTCAAATGTTCTCATTAACATGTGCAAATACATAGCCCCATAAAAAACGGGGTGGGTTCCTAATAGGAGGTCCCCAGCGGCTGAGCACCACCTCCCTGCAGGAGGTTGGTCTCCTTGCTCCCTGCCTCTGAGCCTGTCTTCCACCTTCGTCCTCAGCTGCCTAGCTCCACTTGTCACTTGCCAGTTGTTTCTTCCCTCTGAAAAAAAGTTGCTCCAAAACCTCCCATCTCATCTCAGATTTATTTCAGAAACAATGGCTGAGTGCACCACTCCATCGCCTTCTCCCAGCTTCTCCTAGCAACTGCTCTCAGGTACAGAGAGAATCGTGTGTCGCTTACAAAACCCAATTTAGAAGAAAACCAAGCGAGATCTTGTTTCATCACAATCTGTGTAATTATAGAGATGCTTTAAGTTTCTCTACTCTTTGACTTTTCTGTCAAGTAGTGTATGGTAACAGCCAGTGTTTATGGAGTGTTTATCATGCACTGGGCTGCGTGCCAAGCACGTCACAGGCTTCATCTTAATTAATCCTCACAGCCACCCCCCCGAGGTGTGTGTGTTGTTATCTCTACTTGCCTGGAGGAAACTGAGGCTCAGAGAGGGGAAGCGCACAGCTAGGAGGCCCCAGCGCTGGGATGTGGGGCAATGCTTTAACCGCGGTCTCTTCCGCCTCCTTCCTAGAGCCTGATACAAAACCCTGAGTTTGGGGCGTCTGTTTTCATGTGCAGAAGACTCCGATTTCACTGTGTAGTACTCTCCTCAAAACTGAAAATGCTTTGTGAATTCAGAGTTCTCATACCTGATTCTTTTTGTTTGGTGTGTTTCATCCATCATCTCTTTTTGGTCCCAAAGGGCATTTTATTTTTAAAGGATGTTTTCATAACATCCGTATTTGCCATCCTTCACACTCCAAAGCCAACCGCGTTCACATAAATATTTTGCATCAATTTCTAATAAACATTCCTAGTTACCCTTTAACTTGTTCTTTCCTTCCTTATCTTTCAATTATTGTGTCTCTTAAGTTTCAGCCTACACATGCGCAAAGGTCCATTTTACTACCAGATTTTTTCAATAATAATTGATTAAACACCTACTATGTGCCTCGTGTTATGTTACACATTAGCTCTAAGATTATGGTACTCTGTGTGTTCTCTTTCTCAGTTCCATTCCATACAACCTAAGCAGGGTTTTCTAAGTTCAGACTCCCTGAGGTATTTCTTGACATGTTCAAGAAGGAATTTTTCTTTATTCTCTTTGGCCTCTTTTTGCCCTCTCCTGCCATGGTCTTCCCCTGGTATCTTTTGTTCTTATTGTCACTCTAACGTCATACCTGTTACCTGTTGGGTTTCTGATACACACAGGTAGAATTTAAAGCAGAAAAAAAATGCTATAACAATGTTCAGTCAATGTTATAGACTCAATCAACTGGAGTCTTTATACCCTCCGCCTGAATGGAGGAGTCATAGCTCCTGCCATCCTGTTTGCCCTGCGGTCTTCGAAGGCCACCACCTCATCACTGGTATCTGAATGCCTGAGGCCCACAGGCTGGAAGAGGAGGAGACACGTGAAGCAAATTCTAAAGCAACAGGGAGCAGGAAGTGACTGACATTCAGGGAAGGAAGATTCAGAGATTTCTTGAAGCAGTTGATATCTCTGTCAGGCTTCATGAAGGATAAGGATGAGTTCATGCATAGACAAAATTAGGGGACAGGAGACAAAAATTCCAGACCAGTACCTTCCAAGGCATCCTTTAAAACACAAAAGAGCAAAGTGGCAACTGACGGGCCAAATTTCACCCACAATCTTGATCAGCCCCATGGGTACTTTTGATGCAATTCAGGGGCCAACATTTAAACACTTTGGAAACTTAAATATTTATGTTGTTCTGGCTTCTTTAAAAAAAAAAAAAACTTTCAGAATGCCTAGCAACTCTGGGACAGTATTTCCTCATCAACTGAAACTTCTAAATAGTCAGACAAGGTATGTACCCTTCAATCTACCACAATCCCCAAAGCTGAGTGGTTAAGATCTGGTTCAGAAAATGGACAAAAGCTAATTTCTGCCCTTTCTTAGTTGTATGGACATAAACAGGTTCTTAACCTCCTTGGACATCAGTTCTCCGGGCTATACCTCCATCTCCACCCTTTTCTTGAAAACATGTCAGTTTGGTAAAGCATGCTCCAGATGGCTAACATGTGGATCTAAACAAGACCCTGTATCATGAAGGTGGTGATAGACTTGCCTTGTAAAGTTCTCGTGGTGGTGAAATGCAGACATGTTCCCCAAGCTCTGGGTCAGCAGGCTATGGCTGTTAAATCTGTGCAGCCCTTCAGACAGCTGGGAAGGCCTCTCTGCTTTTATCTCTTCCAGTTACTTTCAGTCCCACACTACTACATACCCCACAGACACCAGGGCGATCCAGAAGAATGAATGGTTTTCACTTGATTAGTCATCAAGGTCATCATTGGGCCTGTTGTTGTTGTTTAATTCCTTCTTGTCAGACTCTTGGATCTTCTGTACCTCTATGGCATGTTTCCCAGCTTTTGAAACAATAAGCTTTAACCACGGTAAAAGTTATCAGAAAAGGGTTCTCTCTGTTGATATCCTCAATCTCCACCTTTTTCTTGAAAACATGTCAGTTTGGAAAAGCATGCTCCAGACTGTTAACATGTATATCTAAACAAGACCCTGAGCGCTTACAGATGGATTCTATATATTTGACTGAGTAGGTCATTTTGTACCAAGAAACAGATGAAGTCACTGCTGTAAGAAAAGCCATATTTCCATGAGCCAGCTTTCCATTTCACACCTTTGAGAACATACATTATTTTTCCTCCCCGCAGTCCCTCTAACAGGGGCTCTGCCTTTTCCCTGAACCAGGATGAATTCTTCTCTCTGACCCTCAGAGTCCTTGAAACGTGGTAACAGTACTTACCTCATAACTGGGTTCTGTTTCTCACACGTACTTCCCAAATCACACCCCAAATCTCTTGGCTACTTTTCCTGGAACTATCGGTACAGCCTGATGTTATGTTAACCTTGTTACACAATAATGTCTTTATCTACTGTTTCATTATCTTTAGTAAAGTTGGAATTGGGAGAGACAAGTTTGGGCTCCTCCTGCATCATCAAAGGCAAACTCTGACAAGCTTATCCATAGCACTATGGGGACAGAGGACAGAGTTCCCTGCCTATCTTGCAGGACCCCCAGTGTAAACCTGGCTCAACCAGGCTCTCCTGAAATTTCCAGAATCAGACTAAGGCTTGTGATCATTAGTGGGGAGGTTTCCCAGATAGAACGTCACCACAGCACTTTCTAGGTATTTTTTCAGCATGACTGACTCAACCTGTCCCATTACAAGCAATAACTCAGTAGGCACATTGGTTGAATTTCCATCTTAACCAATTAGCATATCAAGTACGGACACAATTCACCCTGCCCCCCAAAAAGTTGACATTATTAAAATTAAATTTTTTTAATTAAAATTAAAATTTTCTTCACTCTTTATTCCCCTTTTGTACCCTACTATTTTTATTTATTTTCTTAAAACGTTTTTTCCTAATCTAAAGACCGATTGAGAGCCATAAAATAGGCTTTCCATTGATGATTTCAATACCATGCTTTTGGTATTTTCATTTGGTTCACACAGTGACTAATATCTATTAGAGACATTAAGAAATAGTTTTTGGACCCAATCAAAACAAAATTATTTCATTCTCAGCTGTGGCCTTTCAAATAAGAGAGCAACCTCATTCACTAAGTTGTCAACCTGACCAGCTTCTTGCAGAGCTGAGCCATAAGGGTTACAGTTACGATCATGGAACAAGGAAAAGAACACATATCAAGAGACCCAGAGTTTAGGTATAATTTTTCACTTTCTAATTGAATCCCTTAAAGGATTCATTTTACCTTCCTGGGGCTGTTCCCATTCTTGTCGAAGCTAAACCTCCATTTTTCTTTAGTTCACACACTGCTGGTAACAGTCAAATACATCCCATATCAGAAGGCATACAGAAGGTTTTAAAAGTTGGTAAATATTAAATAAAAATGTAGGTGCTAGAGTTTTGGATTTATGGCAGAGTGCTGGCCTTGCATGTATGAGACCCTGGGATTAAGACCCTAGCACCAAAATAAAATAATAAAATTCCCAATTTCCAACTCCTCTTGAAAAATACAAAAAATGGGCAACCATCACCCAGCATTCTCACATGGCAGCAGAATAAGACTGGCTGCCCTAGAGGGGATGTGTACTTTACAGTCAATCCACCCTAGTCCTCACTTCCCCCTATTGCCTCACACCAGCCCTGATTTCCTCACTTATATAAATTATGGGTCCTAATAGACCTATGATTTTGCTGCCCCATTTAGCCATTTATCAGCTATAGTTTCCAGGAACTTGCCATCCAGTCAATCTTTTCTTGAATCTGCTTTAATTTTTTTCAAAGGTGGTCTCCTAATGTGAAGCAAAAACTAACACATGTATTTCTCCAGATGTCCTTAATAATAAAAGGCCCACACCATGTTGTTGGCTCACACTGAGCTCGTGAGCCATTTTTATCTCAGGTCTCCTACATTGAGGCTGACTGCCAAACCTGGTCTTCATGGCCTATGATTTTCTTAATGAGAATCTATAGCTTTGGCCTGAATATCTGTTTCTCGTAGGAATTTTGTGATTATGAAATACACTATGGAATGACATTATTACAAAGTCTTCAAGTAAAGCCCCAAACAAGTACCAAATACTTACCATTTACATATACAGACCGTGCACTAATGAGGAAGATGTCTCCCTCAGCAAAAGTATCTTATGATTTTTTAAAATATTTTTATATTTTTTTTAATTTCTTAACATTTAAATTTTTAAAATTGTTTTTAAAATTCTTAAAATGTTTTTAAAGTATGTTGAAACCAAATGATAATGCCAATCAGATATTACCTTCTTAAGAGATAGCTTATCCAAATTATTTTAATCAAGGATGACCTAGAAATCCTAAGCACTCTTGTCAGCCAGGTTGATTCTGCTTTACTTCATCCAGGAGATGCATTTCACTTGAACTTGACTTCCACACTGCAAGCAAAAGAGAGGGTGCTAAAAACAATATCTTGTGGTCCTGTTGTTCACAACGTACATTCAAATCATACCACAGTTTCAAATCCTCTCCTATTATATTTTCCTGTTTGGAAAAAAAGGTTTGTAGATCATTTTCAGAATTATTGTTTACCAAAAATGATCCACAACCATTTATTGTTAATACAAGACTATAAAACAATAGAAAAATAGAAAAAGATTAGGATTGCAGATGCAAATTGAAATGCAGAGGGAAAAAAAAAAAAAACATAATCCAGAACAATCCCCAGGCTGTTTCGTAGGGCAGGCAGAGATAAGGTCTGGCTGGGCAGAGGGTTGACCCACACAGAGCTTTGCCCTTCTTTTCTTCCTGCTCAGGCCTGTCTCTCTTTTTGTGTTTAAGATCGGAGCACAGTGCTACTTGGAATGCTCAGCCCTGACTCAGAAGGGTCTCAAAGCGGTTTTTGATGAAGCCATCCTCACCATTTTCCACCCCAAGAAAAAGAAGAACCGCTGCTCAGAATGTCACGGCTGCTGTTCCATCATCTGAAGCTGCTGGAGACTCGCCTCCACCCCACCCAAGGGTGCCACAGCAGCCAATCTCGGCCACCCAGCTCCAGCCAAAAAGGAGGGCGGGACCAGAAATGAATTCCCTCGCACCAAGGCCGCCCCACCTGTGAGCTCCCCAGCACGGCCTCCCCGTCAACCAACTGCCACGTCCCCAGTCCCCCCATCCCGGCCAGAAGCACCCACGCCGCACCCCGACGTTAAAGCGGAGCTGGATTTCAGACAGTGTAGCTGCCGAACTCGTGGGGAACAGTCAAAGGGCCATCTCGCCCTCCACCTGCTGCTCCCACAAGCACAAAGCTGATGGGAGAGGAGGAGCTCAGTTCCCGAATTGGTGGCCTTACATCTTTTACAAAACTCGGGAATATATATATATATATAAAAAAAAAACAACGTTTTCTTCTGAATCTGCTGTTTTACCCATCGTGTTACGTTCCTTTTGCATTATTTCAAGAAATTTCCTAATTTTTTTTTCAATTCACTCAGGCCTTACAAATCCATACCAAAGCAGCCTAAAGACAAGACGGTTGATGTTCGCTTCTATTCTCAGCATGTTTCTACCAAAGTCATTGGAACCAACATGTACCTCTGAATGCCTGATTATAAGAGAACTTTAAATTTTTCAAAATTTTACAGAGCAATACCTTTTGAGGAAAAAAAAAAAAACACCATCTGAATTATTCTGCAGATCCACATTTTTAGCCAAAAATTCACTGTAAAAGGGCTTACGTTGATAAGTGAACTGCTTTTTTCCACCTACTATTGCCAGCCAGGGCAAACTAAAAATGAACTGAGTTAAGAAAGAAGTAATTCTGCTTTCCCTCCAAATGGCATGAAGGAAGGGTATGGCAGAACCCATCTTTTCAAATATTAAGTAAAATGGACTTCTCTGCTTCCTGCTCCCCTCCACCATTGCGTGTTCTTTTCCTCCTTGACACTTGACACTTTCTCCTATGCCCAATTCCTTTGTTCTTCGCAGTCATAACCTGACCTAAAAGAAAGAGCTGGACATTGGACATGAAAAAGCAAGTGTTTCAAAAATCTCCCGGTTCAAGCAAAGTGCCTCGATTTTTCCACTTGCTTAGACAGACCGAAGGTGCTTCTAGCTTGCACTATGGACGCTCCTGTTCCATTTAAATGACATTTTCCAGTTACAGCAGGCAGTAAATTACTGCCTCTCTCTCTCTCCATATTCATTATTCTAAAAGTTTGTCTAGGAACCAGGTTTGTGAATACCAAGCTCTGAATCCTTTTTCCAAATGATGCATTCCAAGGACTTTGGCTTACGAGAAGAAAAAGCTCGCAGTAGGGGGGTCTTGTGACCTTCCTATATGACAATTCCAAACATCCAGAAATTCTTGCGTCACAGGGAGCTACTTCCTCCCTTTTAAATAGAGAATAAGATGGCTTCTAATTAGTCTTATTTGCTTTCACGTGCCCTGGAATAACCCAGGTAGTCACTTGATCATTTTATATTATTGCATAAGCAAAGCCTGTTTTTGCAGTATAAAATATGTCAAATTTTTTTTCATATTCAAGCTGTTGAAAAAATCCAGTGTTTCTGTCCCTTCTGCTCCTAGAAGAACCACATAGAAAAGAATTGTATTATGAGTCTTTTCTCTTAAGACCTTTCATGATACCCCTTCAGTCTTTTGTTTTTATTGGTTAATTGGTTAGTTAGTTTAGAATTTCTGAAATGTGTTTTCCTTTCTTCCACATTGCAAATGCTAGTTTTTCTTTTCTCCCATCTAATTGCTAGCATTTTCTTAAACACACACACACACACACACACACACACACACACACACACACACACACCACCTAAAAGGAAACAGAAGCTTTGTAAGTCAAAGCTTGACATTTAGAGAACATGAGGACTTTCTGCCTTTGTAAATGGAAATCAACCATGTATGAACTATAGCTGCAGAGGTTATGAGTTCATCCTTTACAAACAATAATGAGCATTTAGCCCTGTAATAAAGGAAGTGTTGTTAGTCAGTTTTGTTACATTATTGCGTCACTACATCTTGCTAAAAGGCCACTCCTTACTTCTCATTGATGTGGATGAAAAATTGAAAGCAGTACATTAGCTCCACCAGAGAGAATTTTCCAGATGTGTGCACAGGCACATAGCTCCCCAGGTCATCACCTCCTTAGTGGGCCACTGGGATGAAAGTGTTCACAGTGAGAAGATCACTGTCACACAGAGCCGGAGCCTGGACAGAGAGACTATTGGTGTCGGAATGGAATACAGACTCCTCCAAGAGGCCTTAGGAGTCAATTACCAAGTAGAACAAAGCAACCCAAGTGAGTTAGCATCCCACCAAATCAGTCATTCATTCCCTCTTTTATGGCAAGACCTAATTCATTTCACTAGAAAGTGGTTTCTGCTGTATGATCAAATGGAATGCTCTGAAACTACAAATATAAAAAGACATAGAAATCGGAAAAAGGATCTTTAATGGTCCACGCTGTCTCCCAGAGTTAACAAATGGCCGCTGATCTCCATGTGAGGACAGAATCTTAACTTTTCAGAGCTAGAAAAGGCCTCAGAAACTGTAGTCCAGGCCTTCCTGCACAGATGAGAAACTCTACTGCAATGGCCTAAGAGAGGTGTGTTGTGCCAGAGCCAGCACAGATCTTGGCTCTTCTGCTTCCCATCCAATGCCCTTGAGCCTCAATTGATTCATTAACACACCCATTAAGTTGGAGTTTTGTAGGCACATCATTGGAGTTATATCATTTATCCTACAGATCTCAGACACATTTTGACCATATATTCAATTATTAATAATAATTACAAAATTTACAAAGACATCTAGAAGGTAGCATCCAATGTGATAGATTTTACACCGTATGGAATGCATTTGACAGTACTTTATTCAAGCAAGCTAAGAAAATAATAGTAGAAGATGAAATCTTTAAGGTTACTCTCCAGATACATTTTGAACACACAACTTCTTATAGTTAAGCCACTATAAATAAGATAAGCCATCAAACTACTAAAAAACTACAGACAAGAATTCAGTCTATTCTCTAATATGCCTGGAATCCAGGGTAATCAGCAATGTAATCCCAATCTAATGGTTCAATCAATAGTTTGACAGACTTTTTTTTGGGGGGGGGACTGGGATTGAACTCAGGGGCACTTAACCACTGAGCCTCACTAAGTTGCTTAGGGTCTTGCTAAGTTGCTGAGGCTGGCTTTGAACTTGTGATCCTCCTGCCTCAGCCTCCCAAGCTGCTGAGTTTACAGGCATGTGCCACTGCTTTGGGTTGGACAGATTTTTTTTTTCACTCAGATGTTTGATTGGTTGGTTGATGGAATTAATGGACTCCTTAGGCTATTTCAAAAATACAGAAGGACTAAGACACAAGTCAAAATCATGGTCCACATAAGAAATCTGGTCTGATTTCTGCCAAGAAAAGTTAGACAATTACTAAAGGTGAGAACTACAGCAACATTAAACTAGGAAGCACCAAGCTGGGAGGTCAAAAGTAAGTCATACACATGTGGCAAGAAGGCTTTGGTACTGAGACTTTGATGGCAATATGTCTGTTTATGATATGCAAAATATCTTTTGGAAGATGAGCAATCCATCAGAGAAGTGGGTGCAACCACACACAATGTTCATTAGACCCCCAATAGGAAAATAGTATTAGAGTGGTAGCAAAAGAACACTCACAATTACACTCACAATTTTAGGAGAAAATAAAGAAAGCTAAATCCAAAATTTGAATCCAACAAAAAATTGGTCAATGTTTAAAGTTGAGCGTCTTCAAGAATAAATACATTTACTGTCATGTAACTAAAAAGAACAAATAAAAAAATTTTAAAAGAAGAAAAAATATATTTCACTTGAGGCAAGCATCCCCAGATGCCCTATGACATTCATAAATGCAAACTCATTCATGACACCAAAGAGATTCCAAATGGAGGGTTTGTTTTAAAAGCATACTTGACATCATGCTGGAGATTTTTATCTAACCAGTTATAGGTTCATTTTTAAAACCCACCCTTGTTTAGCTGCCAGGATTTGAAATCTGCATTCACTCTCAACAGAGAGAACCAGAGGGCACCAGCTGTTTAGAGAGTCACTGAGTATCAGTAAGTCCAAGTATCAGTAAGAAAACTGCACAAGATAGTGTTGTTTCCAGGACCCTTAGAAACAGAAAGGAAAAGAGAAGATCATGGAAAACTGAGTTTCTTAGGAAAGAAGTTAGGAATTTTAGAAAAAAGGTAACAGGATGGAGAGGAAGCCCCAACCAAACACAAGGCAGAACACACACCTGAGAATCCTCCTGGAGAGTGGTTAACTTCTTTCTGCCTGGTCTCTAGAGGCAGAGGGAGGAATGGACTGTGATTATGAAGAGCACTCCATGATCATCAGGACTCCTCAGGTCACGATCCTAGGACTCATGATTCACTACAGATGAGTGCAATTCTAGACCATGTTCTTTGGGTCTTTCATAGCAGGATGGGAGCTCAGCCTCTCACCATCTCTGTTTACACGGAACATGCAGTCAAGGAAAATCAAGAAACATGATTGAACAAATGAAAGTTTTCCTGAGCTCAAACATGACTTGAAAATCTGAAGAGGGTGACCTTTGGAATATCTGGACAAACAGTTCCTTGTGTGAATGGTATTGATGCATCTTCAATGGAGTACTTCCAAAAGAAAGATGGTATTTAATAGGCACCAGTGCAATCGCATATGATAAAGCAATAATTCATGGTGCTTCCATGGCCAACAAAGACCAGAGCACCAAGCTCTATCTTCAGCATCACCTCAGCCATCAGGGGCTCCGCTGTGCTCTTTGGGTGTCCCTTGGGGGTCAGGGAAACAAAGAGTCAAAGAGAGTTTGGCTCATCTGTGAAATGGTGGGGTGCAAGTCACCAACCGTTTTTGCCTTTGAAATCCCACTACAGGAAATTAGAGTGAAAACTGCATGATGAATGTTGGTCACAATATATTTCTTCTCCCTTATGGGGGATATGATGTCAAGGATCAGGGTTGCTTTGGTGCATGTGTGTTTTAAACGCATCCTACCCTGGAAGTTTTATTTTGTTCTATGAGTTCTGCTGTGGCTCAGAAGCTTTGTGAAGGCACAGCTGGAGTCATTCTGTTGTGTCTTTAGCTATGTCCTCCAAGTCTCTCAGTCACACAGTTTGCTGAATAGGATCTGATCAGGGTTATAGGGGATGTCATGTCCGGGGCATCAGGAGGAGAAGGTTCCCATAGTCACGCTTCGCTTCCCTGGGACCCTGTACAAGGCAGTCTTCAGTTTGTGAGTTCTTTGAGGGGTGGGGGGTGGAGAGACGGCTTCTGAGTAGAGCTGCGTGTTTGGGACAGCTTTGTAAATACACATCTAAAATCACCTCTACCTAGCATGGTTTAATTTTTTTTTTTTTTAAGCAGACTCTTTTGTCCTCCAGGAGTCAAGAGGCAAGAAAGTTAATGGATTCTACATCCTCATCACCTGGTCACACTGTCTTTCTCTCTGAGTCAACAGAAATTACTGTTTAAGTACATCTCGGCAGAGGTTTATTCCTCAACTGTAACAGTTCATGTTCTACTCGATGTAATCTCTACAGTCAAGGGCAGGACAGCTGGTCCGCTCGCTGGCTGGTGTTCCTACCATCTGCGTCTTATGTAATGGCTATTCTATGTACCTTGGTCATTATTAATGGAATGTTATTTCATGTACTCTTTAACCTTGCAGTTTATTTTGTGTCATGTTCTGATTTTCAAATCATTAAATAGTCTTCTTCTCATTTGTGAGTCATTGGAAGGTGTCTCCGGTGATCACTTGAGGAAACTGCTTTCCACAGGCTTCTTATAGAATGGGAAGTTTTTTTTGGTCTGGCCTCTTGCTTCTCGGAGTGTGGTCTGGGGCCCAGGAGCATCAGCATCATCTGAAGGCACTTGGGGCCATACAATCTCAGGCCGAGGCTAGACCTACCTAATTAGACTCTGCATTTTAATAAGACCCCCCCTCCCCCAGTAATTTGTATGCACATTAAAATTGGGGGAGAACTGGTCTATGAGAAGGTCAAGTTCATTATTAGTCTCTACATCCAAACACAGAGCTGCCTGATGAAGACCCGTCAACTTAGCCTCTCAGGCTAAGGTCATGTCTGGGGCACCACGAGAAGGTTCCCATAGTCAGCAACCTTGCTCATCACGCTTAGCTTCCCTGGGACCCTAAACAAGGCATTCTTCAGTTTGTTAGTTCTTTGGAGGGAAAAGAGACAATTTCTGAGTAGAGCTATGTGGGTATCCCCTAAATTAATATTGAGTCATTTTCATTTCTTGGATGAATGAAAGGGCTGTCAGAAATCCTTTCTTTTTCTTGTCATGTGCCACCCAGCTGCAGTAAAGGAATATGCATATTTTGGAATTGAGCAGAAAACCAGCATCTGGTTTGAAAGATCTGCTAAATCTAAAGTATTTCTGTTCTGAAAGTCTTTGGGGGTGTTTACAAGGGAGAGAGGAAAAAAAAGTCCTCTAAAATTACTTTTCCTGAAGAAATAAGATTCATACCACATGAGATTATAAATTTACAAAATAAACATAAAACAAATTTCTGAGGCATAAAACATTTAGCAAAGTTTCTGTCTTCATTTGGTTAGGACATGGAGCTCTAAATTTCAGAGGGGGACAAAGGACCTATCCTCTGGAGAGAGCAGAGACCCATTCTGTAGACTCCCCTCTCCATCGCCTTAAGCACAGATCAGAATCTATTCCCTTACTCAACATGTCTTCACCAAGCATCACTGTGGACCATGCTGTACAGAGCTCTTTAAAAATCTCTCTCTCTCTCTCTCTCTCTCTCTCTCTCACACACACACACACACACACACACACACACACACACACACTGAAGCCTATGGTTTTTTTCAATCTCCTTATTGCCAAAGAAATTCTGAATGCAAATCACACCTACCTTCAGACAAATCAGCAAGATTACAAGAGTGACCACTTCCTATGCAAATGGCCTACCTAGGGAAGTCTCTGGCTAGGATGTCAGTGATTCCATCTCAGAATGAGGACCTGACAGCACTGAGAAGGCACCATCACTAAGGGACAGCCTCCTCTGTGAAGGGCTGTCTGCCTCCCCCTTCTGCAGCAGGCTTCCCTGCAGACTGGGACAGAGACCCCACTCTGGTGCTTGCAATCAGGTGTCTTCCTTCAAGCCCTAAGCAACAGGAATCCCACCTATGTCCTGGGAGGATCCCTCACCTGAGGAGCTTTTGAACGGGACATCTTTTACCTCTAGGAACAGCTTGGCTACTCAAAGCAGCCGACATTCTCAGAAAGCTTAGATCAAATCCAAAAATTGGGGGATCTTAACCAAAGATTATTTCCACTACTGCAAATGGATCCCTGATTTCCTGCCAGTAAACTGATGCAAACTGCCAAAAAGTACTTCTTACACCAGGGACTGCATGTCCTTCCACAGCCTGGCACACCACATGGCACCTCCTTCCACTCTTCCTTCCCCAGGCCACAGAGGAAAGTCGTTTTAGCCTCTACGTGAGAAACTAGGAAAGGGAGAAAACTCTCATCACCCTTGATTTCTCTTCAAGAATCCCTTTACCTGTAATTTTTAAGAGTTTGATTCCTAGTCCCTTCGCTGTGACAGTGAAGTCCCAGTCTGAGCTATCTGAAAGCCTCTCTTCTTTTGAATAGAAAGGTTTCTACTGAATAAAACACATTGGAATAATCAAGCTTGAAAAGAGAAGCACAACCCCCCCCCCTTCTTCTCCCTCATCTGCATCTTAAAAGCATGGAGACTGGTGTGAGTGAATTTATGGTCCCTTCCCCCTTTCAGCTTTGTCCTGAAGTTGGCTGAGCTGTTGTCAATGCTGAATTGCACCGCTTATTTCAACTGGACTTTGTTTCTAAAAAGCTGGACCCCAACACGGAACAAAATCTTCCTCTTAAAAACATTTTCCAATGTATTTTACAATGCTGGGTGCTTTAATCCCACTCAGCAAAATCTGTGCCCCAACGTATTTTAATTGTGATGTGCAGAATCCCAGAAGAAATGGAAGATGGAGGGTCACAACAGCCTGGAAGCTCAGCTCACCTGACTTTGATGGCTCTCCTCTCCACACCGGGACATCTTCCTCTCCACACCGGGACATCTTCGGGACCGTTCCATATATAACACAGTAAAGCCAAGAAAGCATGACACCTGTTCACACATTTCATTCAGAAAGAAATTGAAAGCTAACAGGGTTAAATTCCCATTTCAAGTGCAAAATCCTGGTGTACACTTCCTCAAGATAACAGCGATTCCTCAGTCTCTTTTATTGTATACATATAGGGTTTGTTTTCAGTTAATAAATGTCCCTTTCAAATCATTCCATTGTATTTGTGGCTTGGGGATATTCACATTTATTCTTTGGTTGTAATCCTCTCTTCAACATCACCAAAAAAAAAAAAATTACCATGATGGCTTTTGGTATTATTAATATTCTGGTTAGAGCAAGATGGTTTTTTTGATCCCCTGGAAAATGTCTGTCTGGGTTTGGGGAGGGGGCAGGTTGTTTGTCTTTGGCTTGACATGATTTTCCAAAAGTCACAACGGCTCACAATCAAGGCCAAAGCATATAACTTATCCTGTGTGTCAGGAAGCCACCTTATTTTTTTAATTTAATTATTCAGTGCATGAAAGAAATTGTACAGCTGGAGGAATTTAGGGACAAAAATAAAGCCGGCAAGCCTGGGAAAGTTTCACTTTCCTTCTGATAATGAGGACCTGGAAGAGAATAGAATGATCCCTCTAAATTCCTTCTCTCGAGGGAGACAAGTCTGCCTGGCGTTGTCAATTACAGCGCCCTGCACCTGCCCCCCCTGGTTCCTTTGTCTGTTCTCTATTTCTTGCTCCTGTCTCTAGATATCACCTGCTCAGAGGGCCTTGGCCCCTCCTTCAGACCCTCCAGGACCCCACCGAGCCTTCCCCGTTCACAATTCCAAACAATTCCACTCCTTAAACCAAAGGGAGATTGTCCTGGAAAAGAAATGCCAGGAGATTCATCTTGCAACCGAGGAACTTGATTCTTGTAATCCAGGAGACTGTTTCGCCAGTAGAAACTTGCAACAGAAAATAAAATTCGAAGAGTTTGCTCAAGAATGGTTTAAAAGTTACCTCTTAATAGTTTGCTTCATGCTCCAAAGAACAGAGCCCAAAAGAATAAAAAAAATCACACATTATTTTGAAGAAAGAGTCTCTCGGATGAAGAAAACAGTCCTTGGGGAAAATTTTCTGAATACAACTTTTCTCATCAAGACTAGATTATTTTCAGTTAGATATACAGTTCAATTGTTATGTCCGAAATGATTTTATTACATTAAGAATCTAAGTAATCTGGCTGGGCGTGGTGGCACATGCCTGTCATCCCAGCGGTTTGGGAAGCTGAGACAGGAGGATTGTGAGTTCAAAGCCAGCCTCAGCAAAAGCAAGGCACTAAGCAACTCAGTGAGACCCTGTCTCTAAATAAAATACAAAATAGGGCTGGGGGTGTGGCTCAGTGGTTGAGTGCCCCTAGATTTTATTTATATATATATATATTTAGCTGAAGAGTTAATTGGGCCACTGCAGAAGACTTTGGTACTTTCCTAGTGGCTCATTTCCTAGCCCACGGAAGAAGGGAAGTGTGAATCACCACTGCAGGTAATGGATCTAATCAAGTCAGAAATAGAATCCGCTATGAAAATTTATATTCTCCATTCAAAAACAGTCTCACAGAAAAAAAAAATCCAGGAAGACCCCCTACACACACACACACTCCTTATCTTTCATCAACTACAAATAAACATATTTTCAGAATAAGGAGTTACTGACCGTTTACCTGGAGCCGCCCTAACAGGCCTGCACCACACTGACCCCTCCCCAGTTTTCACACTGCCTGGGCAACAAGCACAGAGCCCACCACCCTCGTCTCTGAGTCCCCCTGGAGCCTCTGCTCCTGTGCTCATTGCCTTCTGTTGTAACATTTGATTTGCGCTCAGCAAAACAGCATCTTCCTAGAGGTGATAGAAGAAACCAGAGAAAAATTCCAGTCCTCATGGAAAAACCCAACCTTGCCTTCCACCACCTCCAGGAAGGACTGAAAAGATGCTAATCAATGGTGTGAGGTCCTCAAACATCAATACATTCCAAGACTTCTCCAAGCAGGAATGACTTGGAAGAAGCATTCCAAAAAAAACCATCATGCTGTAGTGGAAAAGGTTCGGTTCTTGGTCAGAGAAACCTGACATGTGCTAGTGTTTAGCTGTGTTACTATGAGCAAGTTACTTGACCTCTCTGGGCTTTGGTTTCATCCTCCATAAAATGGTAAATAAAATAACAGTGTTTACTAGTATGGTTGACAGAGAATAAAGAAGAATTAGTATAAAGGGTCCTGCTTTCAGTAGGGGTTCCATAAATGATAATGATATTTATATCTTTATTTTCCAGTGCTTTGCACAAAATTAGACTTAATAAATATTTGCAGAAATGAGAGAAAGTTGTAGAAGGGAAAGCAGAAAGAAGAAACGAAGAGGGAAGAGGGCCTTTGAAAAACATTCAAGTCTAGCACTCGTATAAATTCTGACAGATATTTTCCTCTTTTTTCATTAATAACTTTTCTGGTTATGAAGCATATTTACTATCAAAGTTTTTTGAACAGCACAGACTAGGAGCACCATGGACCACACAGCCTGCAGGTCACAGAGCTCTGGTTCGCATTGTAGCCCTGCTGCCTGCTACAGCAATTAGGTCCACTTTGCCTCCTACGGCCACTTGTCACCTGTGGTCTCTGCTGTCCCAGGTCCCCATCACCTCTGCCGACACCGGGAAGCCCAGTTTCCTGGCAGCTTCCCCAGCACCAGCCCCAGGCTACAGAGAAGAGCCACCAGGGGACCGCCCTCCAATGCAGCGCCCCCGGCTGGGACCTTCCTTCTGTTCTACTGAAGGGAGAGTTCTCTGAACCTTCCTGGTGAACATGGCCAGCTGCTGAGTTTTTTGGTCAACTGCAGTAAATCCATTCCAGCACCCCCCCTTCTGTTCCCCAATACTCTTCGAGGACAGTTCAGACATCCTCATTAATGCCAGCCACCATTTCCCCAGGCCTGAAGGACCCATCCCAATGGCACACTGGGACAAGATCCTGCCACCTTCCAATGATGGGAAATGCTGAGGGCACCCCCATCGGGTAAACTCCTCCCATCCAGCCACATACTGTGCCACCTCCTCCTCAATCCCCATGTGCACTCTCAAGATCCAAGGCCAAGTACCTCCGCCAGTTCCTCCTGGTTACACTGTGACACCCTGAAGCTCCTTCTGTGGAGAAGCTCCTTCTTTCCTCACAAGGCGAGCCTTTCCCCAGCCCGATCGTCCTGAAACTAGAAGCTAATTATTCATCGGGAACAGCGGGGACCATGGACAGTCTTTGAGAAGGGCAAGCTTCACCTCCTAAAACATCTTCCTCAGCTGGGGGACCCTTATGATCTCCAAGGAAGAGCAGGTGAGCCCCTTCCACAAGGAAACCTCAACACATCCACCTAGCTGTCTCCATTCCAGGTCTCTGGGCACCTTTCCTTCCCTACTAGGACCATGTGATAAGTGCAGGAGATGGTCCAGGGTGGCAGATTCAGTCTTTTTAATAAATGAGCCATAATATTGAAGGATACAAATAATAAATGCTGGTGAAGTTGCAGGAGAAGACAAACTTACACACTGTTAGTGGGACTGTAAGTTAACACAACCACTAAGGAAATCAGTATGGAGGGTTCTCGAAAGACGAGGCATGAAACCACCGTAGGATCCAGCTATACTGCCCCTTGGTATTAATCCAAAAGAATTAAAATCAGTATATTATAGCAATGCATACATATGTCCATTTATAGCTGTGCAGTTCACACTAGCCAAACTAGGAAACCAACCTAGACATTCATCAACAGATGAATGCAAAAGAAGATGTGAGATACATACACAAACCTCACATAGACCTAATAAAGAACAAAATCATGTCATTTGCAGGAAAGTGGATGGAATGGAAGAGGATTATGATAAGCAAATAAGCCAGACTCAGGAATTCAAAGGTCATATGCTTTCTCTCATAGGGGATGGCACCACTCAAGTTCAACCCATCAAGGGGAATAAAAGGGACCTCAGGAAAATAGAAAAGACACAAGTAGAGTCCAGGAAGGAATGGGGGTGGGGAAAAGTAGGGAAAAGGGGGCAGCATTTGAGAAAGGGCAAATGTCATCATGAAAAACACCCTCCTCAGACAGGGGCCCTTTATGGTCCCCAAGCAAGGTGGGTCTGCAATGACCTGCAATTGTGTTGTGTACATGGACACACAGGCCACATCGAGTCTCACTATTTTGTATAATTAGAGTGCACCAATAAAAAATAGAAAACAAAAAAAAAAAGTCTCATATTATATCAGGGGTCCCTCTCTGTCATTCTCCCTGGAGTGTGATCACCGCTCCTTCTCTCATTCCTTCAGCCTAGGGTTGCCCAGTGCTTCCAAGCCACAAGTGCCTCGCCCTGCTATGGGTTCCCTTACTCTGCCCACACACTGATAAACAGCCTCTTCATTACATTCTCCTGCACATCCCACACAGTCTGTCCTCCAGGACACTCACCGATGCTGCAATCATCTTTTCTCAATTTCTGACAAGATTCAGAAAATCCTAAAGGAGGTTCCGAGAGATGGATTGAAAACACTTGAGTGGTGCCATCCCATGTTGCTCCAATCATCACCCATGGTCCCAGCAAAGACCACAGCACTCAACTCCCTTTTATGGCAGGGGACAGTGGAGGACGGATACCAAGGATTGAACTCCGGGCACTCAACCACTGAGCCACATCTCCAGCCCTTTTTTGTATTTTACTTAGAGACAGGGTCTCACTTTTTTTTTTTTTTTTGTATGTTACTTAGTTGTTTAGGGCCTCACTAAGTTGCTGAGGCTGGCTTTGAACTTGTGATCCTCCTGCCCTAACCTCCTGAGCTGCTGGGATTACAAGTGTGCTCCACTTCACTTGGCTGGACTCCTCTTTATGTAGTGACTTCCTTTCCTACCAAAAAGGATTGAGGTGAATTGTGCATGAGCCCTTTGTTCTCAGACGTTCACTCCCACTCCCTGGTGCTTGACCATCAATTTCAACATTTGCTCCACTGTTTTTCATGAGGATTCATTGGTTCTTCTTTCGAGAAGACTCATGGCTTAAAGGGCTACAATGGAAACCAGAGCACTGTGTTTCAGGGCTGCATGTACTACCTTTGGGATACCCAGAGTCATCTCTCTGTGTCCCTAACTGACCATGAAATCCGAAATTAACACTTCAGTGAAAATCCTCATAGTTCCCTCGAAGCATTCTTTGTCATGTTAGAGCAAGCAGAGTCAAGGCTAAAAAGACTTTTACTAAAAATTTGTATGAATTCAAAAGACAGAGAATGCACTTTATTGACATTAATATCGATTTTCTCAGCATATTATGAAAAGTGAACAAGGTTAAATTCAACCCCCAAAATGACAGAATGAAAGATATTTGAATAAAATTGGAGTTTAAGAAAAGTCACAGAACCAGCTGCTTTAAGATTTTGGTGAAGGCAAGAGCTAGACAATCACAGACCTTTTTCCTCTGAGCCTACAGTGCAGTTTTACCCCTACAAATGTAAGATTTCTGAATTTAATAAGTTACAATTTAAATTTAAAATGTGCTAAGGAAGGAAGAATTTTTGTAAATGACCATTTCACCACCGCTTTGGGAGAATATCACATCCAAAAACATGAGTTTCAGAAGTTTTTATACCTAAATGATAGCTTCTAGCTACATATTTTTCTATATATTTTTTTAAATCACAAAGTAGGCTCTTTATAGTAAGGATCTTATAGGGGAACTTAAGGAATGTTGCTGGGGAAAAGAATAAGCCAAATCCAACCTTCTTTGAGCTCTTCTCTTGATCAATTCCCTGCTATTTATCAATCTGAGCAGTCTGTTTCCTGGGTGGATAATCGCTCATTTAAAAAGGAATTGGAACAGTTTTCTCTAAGGAAACTTGAAGTTGGGTTTCTTTTTGGATAATGAAGATTAGTGAGTGCATTGGTTTTGATAAACTTCTAGCCCTTTCTTCCTAAATCTAGTCAAAGGTCAGTGGTTAAACAGAACATAAGACTTTTAAAAGACTTTACAGCCCCATTTCCCAATTCTGTCCAATGCATTTAAGTCAATGGCATGTTATCGGCCCAAATCAGAAGATGATTGTGATATACAAACTATGTTGCAAGACTCAAGGCAAAGAAAAACTTCCCATCTCAGTTATTTGTAGGTATATGAACTAGAGAAATTAATTCTGGTAAAGGAACAAATATTGTTTTGCATTTTCAATGTAAGTATACTGCATCCAGGCCTTGTGCCTAAGCTAAGGGAGACAGGTAACCACAGGTATGGTCAGATTAAACAGTCCTTGGGAAGCCAGGGGGAGAGCTGCCTATGTCACCCATGCAGGTAGGTCTGTGAGGCTTGAGGCCACCAGCTGCATCCTGCAGACCTCGTAGCTTCAGATGGTCTCACACTCCGTGGTGGCAGTGGAGCAGGCCCCGCAGTCACAGCGGACGGCCACAGGGTAGGTGTAGAAGGGGTCAACTCCAGGGGCACAGTTAGGCAGCTTGACGGTCACCTGCTTGGTCTCGTTGTAGGTACAGACGCGATGATAGGCTTCAATGTAGGGGGGTTCCAGAATGGGTTTCTGTCCCCATAGGGAGAAAAGAGAGAGCCCATAAACATACCATCCTATTTCATTTCCTTTGGTACCATTTGTCATTACCAGACATCAGCATGGTTTTTATCTGTTTACTTATTGCTCTGCCTCCTCCCCGTACAAAGGAAACTCCTGAAAGCAGGAAGCTGATTCTGTTCACTGCCATATCCTGAGCTCCTGGAAGAATCTACAGCACACAGAAAGTGCTAGGTGAATATTTAGTAAATGAATACTCTTGGTCAATGTATAGCTGCTATAGTGTCCCTTCTTCCACCGTAACCCTGTAACAGCACCCAAGTGATCCTCCTGATACATCAGACATGGCCTCACACCCCACTCCCGCCCACTCAAAGCCCCACTCACTTCCCATCTCAGTTAGTAAAAGCCAGCACCTCCATCAGTCTTCCCTGCACCTTCTGTGACAGTCCCACCTTGCTGGCTTCCTTACTAGGCTCCAGCCACAGTGGGCTCTATCATTCCCCAGCCCAACCAGGAACAGTCCCAGAGAGGGTCTTTGCATTTGCTCTTCCCTCTGTCTGGAACATTCTGCCACAGGATTTGTTCCTTGGGGTTTTGTTCAAATGCCACCCTCTCAGGGAAGCCTTTCCTGGCCATGCTATTTAAAACTGTAACATCCCCCTCCACACCCTAGAGCTTCCTCTTCCCCTTCCTGCTTTCTCTCCTTACATGACATCGCAGGTATTTTATTTGTATGACATTTCTCCTGCTCTAGAGGGTAGGCTCTCCTACGGTAGGGATTCCTGCCTATTTGCTCCCTATGGTACGTAGGCAGGTACCTGGGAGGTTCTCCTAACTGTTATAGAGTCAGCAAAAGAAGAATGCCAGGCAGTTTCCTGAATGTTCTCTGGGCCACTCTGATAAGCAAAGGACTCACTTCCTTCCTTCACCTTGTATTAACCTTGAATTCAAAGACAGTTTTGATCAACAGAGCATATGGGCCAGAGAAAACTCAGCACAAGGTAGTAGTTAAAAATCTCCAACCCTTACATCGTGTGCACGTACAAATATGTAACAAGTAGTAGCATTATGTATAATTATAACTATAATACACCAAAACCAAATGTGGAAAAAAAAAAACCATCTCTGGTCCTCATCTATTCAAGAAGCTAAAGCAGGAAGATCAAAAGTTCAAGGCTAACAAGGCAATTTAGCAATACCTCCTATCCCAAAATAAAACAAAAAGGGCTGGGGGTATGGCTCAGTGGTAGAGTGCATGCCTAGCATGCACAAGGCCCAGGGTTCAATCCCCAGTGTCACAGGGTGAAAATGTGTGTGTGTGTGTGTGTGTGTGTGTGTGTGTGTGTGTGTGTATGCAAGGGGAAAAAAAGTTAAGGGGAAAAAATCTTGAGTCATGTGAGCCGACCTATCAAGCTTGATTGCCAGATCTACAACTTGTTGGAGACCTTGAGAAATCAACTAAACTCCTTGAAGTCTCAGTGTTCCTATCTGTGAAACAAGACATCCGCCTCATGGGACTGTTGTAAAGATAAGGTGAGATAATATGTACCTAGCACAGGTAAGTGTTCCATAAATGCACTCTGTTGCTGTCATTAGAAGTCATGGCAAAAATGATAACAATCTGTCAAAGGACAGTGTCTTCACTTGTTCTAGGCAAAAAAGGTAAGTGAATGGATGAATGGATGGATAGATGGATGAGCAGATAGATTGATGACAGATACACAGATGATAGATGGACAGGCCCAAGATGAAGTCCTTGCATGATGATGAAAATAACAACCTTGCCTTCAACAATGATCATGTAAAAGAGCTAAATTTGTCCTGGGACATTTTCTCCTACCTTCTTCCATTTACTCTGTGTCCTTTTACCTCAGTATTCTAGGAACATGTGCAGACCAGACACTCAGCTACCTTGTATATCGGATAATTAATCCTTTAGTATAAATCTTCCCAAGCAATATTTGGGACAAACTTTTACTAAAAATAGTATTTGTTGTTTTATCTGAAATTCAAATTTATCTGGGTTTCCTGGTTTTTTGTTTGTTTGTCTGGGGTTTGGGGAGTTGTTTTTTGGGGGGCAGAAATTGGTGAGTATTTTGGGTTAGTTGATTCATTTTTTGGTTTTGGTTTTGTTTTGCTTTCCTTTTGCTAAATTGGGCAATTCTAAACCCAGGTCATAAGAAATCACTATTTGCACCAAAAGCTTCACTTCAAAAGCAAGTTCAGTCACTTTGTTATCATGAACATCCTTAAATTCAGACATGCTACCAAAAATCAAACAACAAACAAACAGTGCTTTTTATCTCAGAAACCTCCAGTTGCTAGGAAAATGAATCGCATATCTGTATTTATTTCCCCAGGTAACCTCCATTTTCCTAACACAGTAAAGGCACAAACAAAAGTTAGCTAAAATTAGGGACACTCTCCTTTCTTTGTCTTGGTGTTTCCATTTCTCCAGTGAGAGCACAGTCCCCGACCTCCTGGGGGTGACCATGATCCAGCTAAAGACAGTTGCCAACATGTGAGAGAAAAGAGGATGGGTTGAAAGCAGAGGAACAGGAGTCTGGGGATATGGTACCCAAAGAGCTGCCACTAGCCCAGGGACAAGCAGTGATCCAAAGGTGGCACTGCCAGGCCAAGCCCTGCACATGAGAAGGTGCCCAAGTTCCCTGAGTTCATTTGATGGCAACAGTTACTTAGAAAAACTGAATTTTCACTTGGCTATTAAATCTTAAGCTCCTGAATGATGCAAAGATGAAGCCAATTTGATGGGGTAGTTTCATTTAATTTGTAGATTTCTGCATCATAACCCGATTCCATTCAAAGAGTCATAATTTTATTTAAGCAATATCGGTTTGCTCTCTGAGTCCCTGAAAAATGCCTGTTTTTTCCCTAAAGGAAGAGTCCTTGGGTGGTGCTCACATGCTTCAAAGCTGACTTCCATTAGACCAGAGGACAGACACCTCTAGGAAGAGGTCAGTCCCTTCTGATCAAGAAATATTTATTGAATGCCTCACCCATGCATGGTGCTTTGGCAAAAGCTATGAAAGTTGTAATCAGGAACTTCTGTCTTCAAAAACACTTAAAATCATGGTGTGTGGTGGGGGAGGAAGTCAAACAAAAGGTAGAATGTAGTGAAGGAATTGCCACAGAGCCAGACAAGGCTCAGAGAAGAAGTTGGCACTAGAGTTCAGCAATGAGGAATAACTATGATAATAGGACAGTTGGAAATGAGACGGGATATGAGAAAAAGATCAAGATGAGATTTTATGAAGGTTGTTTAATAAAACATTTAAAAATCAGCCTGACAAAGCCAAACCTAAGAATACATGTAGTCTCTGGGAAAGCAGACAGATGCCATATTGCTGGACCTTGAAAGTTGGTGACTGAATCGACAGTAGGGGGTGGTCATTAAAGCTTCAGAGCTGGGGGTGACAAGATCAGAGCTGGTACTCCTTCAGTTGCCAACGTGGGCCTTGGTAAGAAGAGTCAGCTAATCACGGTGTGGTGTAATTTGATGGGTGCTCGATAACTCTGTTCTCTTCACCCCTTTAACCAGCTCCTCGTTTGAGTCCAGTAGGATTTTAACTTTGTTTGAGACTTTTATCCCCATTTGAATTGAAAGGCCAGTTCTAATTGAATAGAAAGGGGCTTCATAGATGTGTCTACAATGTCCCTGAGGGCCCCACGGAACGGAGGGGAGCAGGGCTACGGAGGCAGCACTGAAGGAGAGGCCTGGGACCAGCCCTCACCTGCCCCACAGCTTAGGGCCTCTTTCTTGGCAAATGGCTGACTTTATCACAAATGAAGGAATACAGGGAGGAGACTGGGTCACAGGCTGGAGACAAGAATTTATTCCCAACCTGCAGTGACTCTCCTCATGACTTGGGAGCCTCTCATCCCTTCAATCCCTCCTTGTGATTTGTAAAATGGGTGAAATAGGAGCATGTTTTTTCTTCCCTGAGACCACGACTAAAGCTATGAATCTCATCAATGCTCTGTTACGGGGGCGACATCATGCTTTCCCGATCAGCTGTACAAGATGCTGTAAGGAGAGGGCAGATGACCCGGTTCTACCTCCCATCACTGAAACAGGGAACGCTGTTTTAGAATCAGGCCTGAGCAGTCACGAGCGGAACCACCTACCTCCCAGGTCTCACAGCGACCCCAGCAGGCATCCGTGGTGATCCGAAGGCCCCTGCAGCCCGGCTTCTTGGCCAGGAAAGTAAACTCCCTCACAGCACAGCCCACAAAGGTACGCAGGTCCCCACTGGAGGTGCTGAGGACAGAGCCACAGCCACACAGGAGCAGGAGGGCTGTGGCACCAAGGAACAGGTATGCCAGCTTCATGCTGTTCCTCCCGAGAGGAAAAGAAATCAAGTTTAACAAATCCAGCTGCCCTCCTTGAGGCAGCCATGAACATGTTGGCTGCTATCAAAGGGACCTTGCTCTTAGCATTTCAGGGAAAATGGGCCAAGAAATAGTAAGTACCTACAGACTCCAAGACAGGTGCCCAGAGTTCTCTGCAACAGAGTCAGTATAGATTCCCTGGACCTTTCTGGATATCCAATCCTAGACATGCATTCTAAGACTTTTCCTTACTGCAACCCAAGTGCTGGAGTGGACTTGTATGTTAAAGAAATTTGTCTCTTCAAGATGAACAGCAAACATGAATAACAACAAAGGAGTTGCATATCTTGACATAATACATGAATACACATAAGTTATTTTTATGATGGTCCAGGGTATTTGGGTCCCATGCTATATGCTTTGATCAAAATTTTATTTTTGGTGTCACGCATGGGGAATGATTGGGAAATAGATAAGTAATAAAAGTAGGCCCTGCACATGTTGTTACTAACTCAACCCATCACACAACGTGGATATGCAGAAGATTTTATGAAACCAGGCACCTGTCTTGATGGCCATTCATAAAAATGTGTCCTACTTGGCAACAAATTGCCTCTGCTCTATGCTTCTGCTCTAATAAGCACCTCGTTGTGATTCAAATTAATTCAAATGCAGAAAGCATTGGAGTATTTAAAAATGATCCCAATCTGCTGTCAAGTCTATCCTCTCTGGATAGGATATCTGGATGATCCTCTAGGATAGACTAGGATGGTTTCCTGTGGTCTAGTAACCAGAAGGGACCCTTCATGCTTGGCCCATAAGACAGAACCTATGTGGATGTTAAAGTGAGGGTGGAAAAGCCATTTACAGAATTCCCCCACGTCCTATTGCTTAAAATGGACTGCACTTCCAAATCTGTTCTTCCAGATCCCACCTGTCACCATGTAGTTTCTCTAGGCTTCCCGTTGGGAGGAATGAAGTCTCAAAGTGGAGAGGCCCTTACCTGATCTTGCTGGAGCCAACTCTTCTGACACTTAGAGGTGACACTTGTACCCAAGGTTTTAGGAAGTCGTAATGAGTGGTGAAGTTAGCTCTGGGTAAATGTCTCTCCCCTCTGTTACTGGGCTGCTCAGTGGCTCATATATATAGGAAAGGTCTTGTCAATCACAACAAAAGAGAGGCAGATCCTTACAGGAACTACTAAGCACATCAAAGCCATGGAATATAAAGCCAGTCTCTATTTTCCAAAACTGATTAACTTAAAGGGTGTTGTTTTGTTTCTTCACATCACCTACTGAAACAGAAAGTTGCCCTGGTGGGTGACATAATCCTAGGGAAATAGTCAGAGGTAGTTCACCTTGTTTTGAGAGAACAAATGCAGCGGGACATGATGGATTAACTTTTCCTTCATGGTAACTTTTCAAAGTTTCCTTTAAAGCCAGGAGAAATTACCAGCAGCTCATGGCAAACTTTTTCCTTGAATTTACCATGTGCTTCAATACTTTGAAAAATAACAAAACATTAATGCTTTCTGGAAAGAACATGGGAACCTAACTGGAAGATGAAAATCACAGTGAGAACAATTTTTGAAAGCCTTAAAATTAGTTAAGTAGCAGATATTACTAATAACATTTTTAAATGACTCATATAGGAAAAAAATATGAATTTTCTTTTTTTTCCATATGCTTTTTTAGTAGTTTTCACATTTTCTACATTGGCAAGATTTTTACTATAGAAAGTCAATTAGTATTAATATTTTTAAACTTTATTTTAACTTGAAATAAAGTAATGTTTATGTGTTTGTACTGCGTGTACTCCTCTAGTGGAAATGTGCCATTAGATTTCTGGTCTTAAAAGGTTAAAATAAGAATGGAATAATTTTTGTGAGTATAGAACATAGTTTATATTCCAATCTGCAACAAAAACATGCAAATGGATTTAAAATCTACTTGTTTGTGGCATTTTTCTGGTTGCTCTAAAAAGTCAATGAAGCAGACATCATCTATGCCCTTAGGAGTTTTCATATCATAGTAAATCATGACATAGCCAGAGACATTTAATTTGCATATTAAATAACTAATGAAACTAAATATAGAAGTTAAGCATCTCTATTTTTTGCAAAGAAAGTTATTCCTTAAGTAAATGTATTCATATAAGTTTTGGAATTTCAAAATATATAGCAACACTCAGTGAGTTCATCAATGTACCGCCCCTTTCTCCAGAATCTGATTACCATATGTATTTTAAAAACAGTGGAATTAGGCTTGAAATAAAGGACTTTTTGTGGCCCTTCAGCCCATGAGTAGCATACACAGAACTGGGGCACCATGGGGACAGACTGCTGCATGGTGTGATCTCCCTGTCTTGCTAGGCAAAGAGTTAGCTGCACATTGAGAACCATTTCTGAAGAGAGCTACTCAAGCCTCTTAGACCCGAAACATATGTACTTAGGTCTGCATATCACAAAATAAAGACAGGCAACAAAGGGAGGTCAAGAGCAGCTTTCTTTCACCATTCCCAGCCGCCTTACAAAGCAGAGCTCTGGCATCCTTGCCTTCTGCCCCATCAGCATTAACCGTACAATAACGAGCATCTGTTCCCTACCAGGCACCATGCAATCTGCTGTGCTCTTATATACGGTATCTCTACACCTTCCAAAAACTTGTGTAAGTCAAATATCATTTCTCCTTTTTACATTGGGAGAAGTAGAGACTCGGTCATCTTGTAACCTGCCTACTTCCAAAGCCTTCAACAACACTGGGGAAAGCAACTGGGTTTATTTCATCTCTGTAACCAACTACTGTCAATCCAAGTAGCTGTCTGGAGCTCTGCATCAAGAAGGTGACTGAAATCATTCTGCAGGAAGAGAACAGTGGCTTCTCAGACGCAGAAAAGGGCAGTGGTGTATGGACGCCACCTTTTGCAATCCTTGCCCTCTGCCGTGCCATGCACCCCTCCACAGGCAAAGTGAGAGGTGGCAGCATAATTGCAAAGGCTGCTTAGGGCCCTGATTCCTACAAGATATCTCGGTACCATGGTCTGTGCACCTGCCACCTTCTTTTCCAGTTATACCAAGCTTCTTGCTTTCTTGAGGCAGCAAAGATATAAATAACATCTCCAAGCACAGGTTGGGGAGAAGCCTCCCTCACTGTGCTCCATGATCATCTTCATGTGGATTCATTATCACCTTGGAGGACAAATCAGAAGACACAGGTTCACTAGGGGTAAAGAAAGGGGAGAAGTGGTGCTATAGCCTGGATGTGGTTTGAATATGCCCCCCCACGAGTTCGGGCATTAAAATGTAATCCCCATTGTGAGATATTAAGAGAGTAAAAACTTAATCTGACTCAGGTGTTTAGAGATGAGGCCTTCAGGAGGTGATCGGATGAGATAAGGTCATATGAGTGGAACCCCATGATTGAATCCTAGTGGCTTTATTAGAGAGAGAGAAACCAGAGGACATACATCTGCATGTACATTCCCCATCTCTTGCCGAGTGATGTCCTATGTCACCATGGGATTCTGATAAAAAGACCAATACCAGATGCAGCCTCTTGACTTTGCATCTCCAGAACTGGAAGCCAAAGTGTTATTATTATTATTATTATTATTATTTTAATAATTCGCTTACCCTATGATATTGTGTTATTGGCAACAAGAAATGGACTAATAGAGAGGGGTTGTTGTAAGCGATCATCTTGAGGTCTGGGGGAACTGGACAACAGAGGAAGAATGAGCAGAGTGTCAGAAGGAGTGGCTGAGCACCCGAGCCTGGTCCCCAGGGGCCTCACTGTGTCCTGGGGATGGAGGCATTGAAAGAGCTTGAAAATCTCCTGTTCCTGGCCCAGCCGTGCTGATTCTCAGTGGCATGACTTCCTTTACCGTTGGTGAGTTGCTTCTCTCAGCCTCACTTCCCTCAACTCTAAATGGCTGGTTAAGCCCTATGACTTATAAGGTGCTTCCCAGCCCCCAAATTTAAGGATTTGTAAACTCTTATGAACAAAACAAGCTAAGGGCAAATCCGATGGAAAATCTGAGGGGTCATTTGACTACAATAAAGTCATCCAATTTGGGTTCCAATCTTGACTCTGCCAATTACCAACTTGCTATCTTGGACAAGTCTTGTAACCTTTCTGAGCCTCAGCTTCCCACACATTAAAACACCTCCTTGGCAGGGGTCCCGCGCACATCCCAGTGCTCAATGAGTAGTACACAGGCGCGTCTCTTTCCTTCCCAGGAACTGCAGCACCATTTTAAGAAATCAAAAGCTGCCAAGAGAAAGTTTGGTCACACCAACAGTTATTACCCTGATTTCAATGGTATTAGATGTGGGGGGAAATGTAAGTCTGAGAATAGAGGACACAAAGTGTTTGGGGACTGTAAGACCTCAGCAGCACTCCAAAACAAGGCCAAGGGTGTCCCAACTTGCTTCCCCCACTCAATCTGTGGTGCTTTGATCTGACACTAAAATTAACATGATTTTTGGTAGGAGAAAAAGCTTGAAGGATTAGATTTAATTTTTAAGGTCCAAATTTTTTATACTTTGGGGGTGGGGTGCAAATTCACCATAGTTGCAAAATTCAATATATTGATAAATCTTCACAAATACTAACAAAGAATTTCAGTTTTGACTAAATATGGGGTCCAACTGACTAAGCCACCAACACTTACTGAGCACCCCACCCCCATGTTCTGCAGGCACCAAGGGAAGGCCCAGAGGAAATAAGTTGTTTGCTGCTTCCCTTAAAATGGTCCCTTAAGAGCACTGAAAGTTGCTCCTGCTCCAAGGTAGCTTTCCCCATTTTCCTCTCAGAAAGCACAATGCTCTGCCCAAGGGTCAAATTCATTACCATTATGCCTCCTGTGGGTGAATTAAAAGCCACAAGCAAAGCTACAAGTTTCAAGGAACTAATAGAATTAATGATTTTCTTCAAACAGGTACAAGAAAGGTCAGCCTTGGATCTTGCAGAGTTGTACATTGCTTTTAATATCTCTTATTT